AAACGAAAATTAATATTATACCGTTTCGGTTAACTGTCAAAACCGGTACGTGGTACGGTACGGTTTTGACTTCTTTGGCCTGAACAGAGCAACTCAACTATTTTGAAAGTTTGAAAAAGAAAACAATGAAATGCATAATCCATGGTTAAACTTAGCACTCATGGAACAGAGCAGTTAGCCTTCCCATCTTACTCCCCAGGTTGAATTGTTCCAGAACAAACAATTGATTTGGTCAAAAAAAAAAAAAAGAACAAACATTTAATTTTAAGGTTTCAAATTCAAGTTCCAGGCCTTCAACTACAGTTTGCTTAAAGTTCAATAGAAGAAAGAGAACTGTTAGTCTTTAACCTATTTGGATCAAATGGTTCTCATGGTCATCTAAACAAGCATCCTCAACAAGCAACACAAGCCAATGGAGCCAAGAATGACACCATCCCAATAAGTGATTGTTTGTCATTTCGCATTTATCCCCCTCAATTTTGTTGTGTTAAAAGACTAAGAAATTACATGAGTCCAATATCAATTAGCATCAGCCTGAACATGTTACTATCATTTTATCCATGGTTAAACCAAAATAAAAGCATGGTTTAAGAAACAAAAAACTATCAACATTTTGTAATAGCCAAAATCCCTTTTCCCCATTTTTATAAAAAAGGCAGGAAGAAAAAGAACCACACGCCATCACAGCCACAGGTTTGACTATGCTAGAAAATGAAATTCTACAAAATATCAGATAAAAGGATATGAATGAAGCAATTACCTCACGAACTTGCAGTCAGGAGAGATAGATGCAATAAAATGTTGACAGACATACTGGTATAATCTCCAAGCATCTTTTGCTAACATGTCCTCAGTTGCTGATTGCATTGGAGTAATAGGAGGGTGGTCACCTGCATCTGTCCCCATACGTGGCTTCTGATAACCTTCAACAAGCAATCTTTGCACATGATCACCCCAAAGTGGATTACTTATTTGCTCATTAAGTGTGACTTTAAAGTCAAATGAGGAAGGATATGCTGTACTCTCTGTGCGTGGATAGCTGGAAAAAACAGCCGAACAGAGGCAACAATGAGAGGAGAATTACAAAATTTGGAGGATTTAGAAGCAACATAAGTTTCTACTCCTTTTTATAGAAACGGAAGAAAGCACCAAATATGTCCATACCATAATGCCAGACATGGACCACATAAGCCAAACAATAATTTATCTAAACCAAATGATGCTTAAATGCTAAATCAAAAGGCTAGCTAGAAACAAAAGCTAGGAAAATATTCAGTAAATAAGACTAAGAGATTCATTAAAGCCATGATTTCTTTTCGTGCAGCAAACAAAGACTCTTCATATTCTTCAAATTTTCTTCATTCAAATAATCTTCTCAGTTCATTATTATGAAAACCAAACATGAGTAATACAAATGGAAAAATGAAACAATCCCCCTCCCCAATCTTTTTTTCTCTTTTGCTAACTCTTCTCCACTTAGAAGCACATATAGATATACACCTCCATACAACCCTTCCGATACTAGATAGAAAAGTCAACAAAAAATAGCAATAACTGGAGTTTGGAATTTGACAGGATATGATTACATACGGTAGATTATTACCCCATCACCCATTTAAGACCCAAGTGCACCACCCAACCCCGCCCCTTCATATTGAATCCCTTTCTCAGGGTATGCCATTTGTTTGGCTTCATTCAAACTATTAGTAAAATCTTCACGAAAAAGTTAGGTACACATAGAAAAATAAATCACTATGTAGTGACAGATCTAAAAATTGCAAGGAAAAGCAGTGCATGGTTACAAAGACAACAAGTATAAAAGCTAAGCTATAGCCTATAATACTCTTTTGTTATAACAAGTTGAAAAAACATTATCAGAATTCAGAAATAAAAATAAAACACGCAAAGACAGAGTAAATATAATCCAAAATGTGAGATGAGCAGACCTTATAAACCCTTGAGTGTACAAGCGCTCAGCTAGTTGCATGGCAACTTGAGGTCCAAAGCCTAATGCACTTGAAGCTACCTGGATATATTGAGATGGTCATAATCCTAAAGCACTAGATTCTATTTAAAGAGCCTTCTTATGTTATTCATCAAGGTAAAAATTTGATAAAATCAGAATACAAAGCATGCTTTCATGACAAAAATTTGGATTAGAGACTGAAAATTTTAACCATTTTTAGCTATTTCTTCCTTTTGAGATCATGTTTAGCAAAGGGTCTGACATCAATCCCAAATATGCCCAAAAATTTCACTACGATACTTAACCATTTATCTAAATAAAAAATTTATTCAATGATCTCATGAGCCAAGATGGTATAAACAAGTTTATTGACCAAGTTATGTAATCAGATTTATATGATTTTGCAAGGTTCATCTTTAAGTATAAAATAAGTTGATAATAGGATATCATTTGAGATAGTGACAGACAATAATTCTAACCTTTAAAAGATTCACTGTGTTGAGACCACAAGGACGACCTTTACTTTCCTGCTTTTCTGATATATCAATTACTTCTAAAAGTCCATCCTCCATTACCAACTTTTGGAACATTGTAGCAACCTGCAATATTTAGAAGGGCAATTACCCAAACCTTCAAAAATGAAACAAGGAATAATAGAGCGGTCAATTTTAAAGAAACAAAGACCTCACATTCAGGTCAAACAACATTTGACGTTCCCATTCTAGTTGAAGATCATAGCCATTCTTTATAATGTAAGGATGCACTGTCCAAAACTTTTCCTGCTTAAAAGTTGTTATTTGCAAATAGCGCTGTACACAAAATCCAAGAGTAGGGGTTTGACATGGGCCATACCTACAATAAGGTATTAATGAGCCAGATTCAATGACTAGCTGCAAATATAAATTTAACAAAATGAAGTGCATGCAATAGGTAATTTAATACCTCTCTACATGATAAATTAAGAGCTTTCAAGAAACACGATAAGCAAACAAAGATAAATAACACTAGTAAAGACATGCCTAGACAAACTAAACATACTATGCAAAGAATAAAGCATTTCTTAGATGCCTAAATTACTATAACAACCAAATTATGGCAGCTATTATTTATTAATTTAAACAATGAAAAAGAAAAGATTCAGGTACCCCTCATAACAAATCAAAGAGTTCACATTCTTAAATAGATATATATATATATATATATATATCAGCAGTAGGCTCAATTAGGCAGTAGAACAAAGGAGAAATATGGAAGCAAGAAGTAAAGCTTTGACAAGTTTCTTTTCATTTGTATCTTGTAGATATAAACTGCCCAGGCCCCCAGGAAAGAAACTAAACAACAGGAATCAAGATTAAGTTGCTATCAAGTATCAAATTATATTATAAATATCATGGCATTGACAGTAAGTCAGAAAAGCACAAAATAGAGTTTAGAGGTATCCCATAAAAAAAAAAAAAAGGATCAACTCAAGCTTGTATTATCAGAAGGAAATATTACCCAAGTACAGCAATACATCATCATTGGTTTAAATTGTGCGCCTTTAAAAGTTGATAACATCTTGAGCAGAGTCCAGAGACTAAGTAGGAAGAAAGGATAAGCTGACTAACACCATATTAAGCCCCTGAACTTTTTAGTCCTATAAAAAATTTCATTATTGTAATATTGAAATGGCATTTTTAAAATTAATCAAAATTATCAATTGATTAGTTACTAGTTAATTAATAATAGAATTAATTAGATAAAATTAAAAGTAAAATGAAGAAGATACACAAATCTTTGAGTTAGCTCTACCGTAAGAAGTTGGAGTACCGCTTGTACTCCTTATAATATAAATTTTAATTTTGGCTAATAAAAAAGGTACAAGAACATTCTTTGAAATGTTGAAGAAATGGAGAAATCTTCAGATGGGAGCATACAGAATAAGCACTCACAAAAGGGAGCAGTGCAGAATCTGTTTACTGCACTCAAGATTAGAAAAGAATCTGCCTTTCTTCTAAAAGAAAAAAATCCTGTTTAACTAATTAATTAAAATAATTAATGATTAAGGATGGAAACTAAAAAAAATCTCATCATTATTTCAACAAAATTAGGATTTAGAATAGTTTGGGAGCTCAATTGCGTGGAAAGTAGGTAGGGAGGCATAAATTGTATGCTCAGAGAAATTTCTAGTTCCAAGTGCCGGTTTAGACTGAATTCTTTACTTTAGAAGGAAAAGCTAGGCAAAGAAAAATTGTTTAGAGCTTTTTGAGAAGCTGAAGCTACAAATTTATATATATTCTGAAGAACTTCAAAAGCTAACTTCAAGTATGGTAGAAATTTATTATTTTTTAAAAATTATTCATAAATTATCTCATAAAAATTTCATGATACCACAGTTCTACTGAACAAACACTACTTCTACAAAAGCTCCAGCTAGGCCAAACATGTTCCAATGCTGTTTTTTCAGAGAATAACGTGCAAAAAATAAAAGTGATAATACTTGTTAGGGTTCCTATTAGATTCAATTGTAAGAGGAGGATATTGTTAAACCCCACATATCCTAGACCAACATCACTCAATAAATCTAAAAGGGACTTGTTCAAGTCCAATGGTCAATAACACAGACAACTATTGTGCGTAAAGTTACACTAGTTTCTAGTCAAATAGTATGGTCAAATAGTAGAAACAAGAACTAATGCAGGATAATAAAAAACCAGCAGACTCATTTTATCTGGGAGAATGACCTGTTAAATTAAATCATTCTTTATCTCTCCAACACAATGTCACCTAAGGCCTAGAATCCCTCCAGATCAAGAATTTGATTTAAGTACTGTTTGTGATTGTTTTCTCAGTACTTTCAACACAACACCCTAGTGCTCTTTTTTTTTTTTTTTTGGCATTGGGTAAATATTTAGGGATATTTTTTTTGATAAGCATAATTTTCAATATTAAAAATATAGTACAATTCCAAAAACACCCATTAATAATTTTATTATCTTATAATCTTAATATTTTCTCTTTTTCTATTTTTGGGGGATTGCTTTCACACAGGCACAACACTATACAATAATCCCAAAAGGACCTATGTCAACCACAATGTTTGAAAGACTAGACAAAGCTAGATCATTCTAAATCAAGACAGAATAACTGAACTCCCTGGTCTATTATAAGTTTCCACTCTGGTGCTCTATGCTAAGTATTGATAGAAAGATATTATCAGACAAGATCTAATTCCTCTCCTTTTTATTCTTCATGCTTGACATTGAAGCTTAACTAAACTTCTGAACAGAAGATGTAATGCCTTTTAGGTTTTACTGGTAAACATAGTTTTCCATTATATATTTGTCCTCTATTACCACTATTACCAGGACCCAAGCCTTCTCCTTAGCTTTCAAGTTTATTCTTTCCAGATTATATACTGACATACCAGGAATCTTGCAAAAGCAATTAACATTCTGTTCATGATCTAAAAGGAAGACTATAGCACATGCAAATCAAAAACAAAGACAAATATGAAGAGATGATGTGAAAGTGAAACTCCTATAAACAATGTGCATCAACTGCCAAAATATTTGTTATAGAGATAAGAGAACTAACGAGATAACTCTGGAATCAAGATTCCCATATTTTCCCTGAAAATAGCTAGTCTGAAATCTTGTAAATGCAACACCAACTTTCAAATCTATCTCTTGTCGAGCATCCACAGCCAATGCCTCATCTTTGTTTGGTTCCACAAGGTTATCCATGGCCTTCAAGATGTCTTTCTCAGTCACAGAAGAAAATCGAGCACGATAAACCCTTTCCTTTGCCTCTTTCACATGGAAGCCAGTGCACTCAATAACTGCATAATAAGGCAGGAAATTCAAAGTAATTTTACCATATAAAACTAAGCATAAATTTAGCTACAAAGGCTAATTATCTCAACCTTCCAATTAATTTGGGAACATTCTCTTCATAGTATATGAATTGGCAAGATGAAAACTCTGCTAGTTCTAATGTATGAAGGTACTCCATTATTTAAGTAAGAAGTAGCTTATTCACAACAAGTGGAAAAGAATTACAAACAAGTAGTTTAACATACAGGACCTTTTCCTTTTTGATTTATTTCTCTTAATAATAACTAGTAAAATTTTACTACAAGAAGAAAGGAAAAAGAAAGAACTGATCATATTAACTGAGAGGGGCACATGGAAGCATTGATTTGAGTTTTAAAAAATTCAGGTGCGTTTTTAGTTAATGGTCTACTAGAGAACACCAACATAATTTCTATTTCTCTATGAGTCAGAAAACTGCAAGAAAGTTTCAAAACAAACAAACTAATCACCAAATTAGTAACCTAGATGAATGGATATGATATAAAAAGTGGTCAGCTGCTTGCCATTATAAGTTGCTTAACAATCAATAAATTCACATGCAAAGAGTACTAAGGTGTCTGCAGGGGGGGGGGGGGGGGGGGGGGGGTACCTTCAAAACATATATTTTCTCCTTCACGATCACAATCCAACCATAACACCAAATAACCACAGCCACGTGATTCTTGACTTAAATGCCTTTGAATATGAGCCTGGTGACCAAAAGTGTCAGAAATTACAAAAAAAACTAAGAATTACAGTACATTTGAGTACAGGAAAACAAAGTTACAATACAATTTGAAGATTACCAGATAAAGAGAATTAAGCATGATCTTACAAAAAGCTCATGCAAATTCCTTTGAAAGAAATGACAAATTACAGAAGTGATTGATAGCATGCCTCTCATGGCCATTGCACCAATGCACACAAAAAGAATGTTTCTTTACATTGGCATAAGATGCAAAAAGTCATGTAGAAAGCCAGAAAGATTTGTCAACAACTGAATCATCAGAACTTAATTCCAGGTAACATCTGACAAGACATAAAACAGAAATATCTAACCAAATGTAATTCCTAACATAAAACACCCATAAACAAACAAAGCAGGAACAATATAAACGAACCATGAAGTTGACAGTAGGCTGCAAACAGGAACAGACAAGAATATACCTTTGGGTTTGATTCTGTCTTGAGAATTGGAGCTTGAAAAAGATTCAGAGGATCAGTGGCTGTCCAATCTTGATAAGATGCAGGGAAATCCACACTAGATTTGCACAAGATAAAAAGAAAATCATCATCTGGAAGCAAGGCAGTAACTTGATACAGTACGTACCAAAAAGGATAAAAGAAAACACTTATTTTGAACACATTAGGTGCAAAAAAGACCTGAATACATGTCCAATGACTGATGTCACTCTACAATGTGCATGAAATCCAAGAAACATTATATCAAACTCATGCACCTCTGTGACACCCCTCCGTGTAGACATCTGAAGCATGTAGTATACCTTGTAAGTCACTAGTAACCTATGCACACGTTTAAATTGGGCATTCCTAAAAAAGGAGGAATGCCTAACCAAGAGATGTAAATCATCTGTGACAAAGAACTCAACCATAGTCAACATTATAAATAAAAGAAGAAAGAAGAATTGTGCATTCTATCAAATTCCCAATTGCTGTAATTTTAATGCATAACTACGTAACTTCAACTAAAATCACTGATCTTTAAAGCAAATTTGAAATAGGCCAAGTCAAGCCCCATAGCGAGCCATAGCATTTCCTTCATCAATCACTCTATTGACTCAAAAACAACATTTCAAAACAAACCTTAACCACAAATCTATCCATAATAATAAGCTTGTAAAAGATGATTTTTTAATCAAGTGTACTTAGCCAAAATTTTAAAAACATACTTTTATTATCTACAATAGTTGAAAATAAATATGGTTGCATATTGTTTTTATGGTAGTTGATAATTTCATTTACTTAAAAGGAAAATGTTCCCTTTGAGGTATATTTACATGGAAAAAATACAATTTCCACAAGCAAGTATGTGCACATATAAGCCCACATAACGGAATGATTTGTCACTTTCCAGTGAAAGCTCTGAAATGCAATGCATGGAATAGTTGAATGAAATATAGCAACAAGAGGCCTATATGCTCAAACTCAGAAAACATAGAATTGCAGTACCCTCACTGCTGTTGTTTATTCAAATGATTCAAGGGTTTCAAAAGGGAAAAGTACAGATATTGTACTTGGCCATGGGAGAGCACAGAAGCAATAGACAAGGCAATGCTCGGTTTCTCTGCCACCTGCAAGGAGTGAAACACGAAGGATTTTATTTACACAAGAGCATACTACATAATGAAATACTTTAAGTTTACTCACCATCAGAACTTTGCATGGAGGAGCCATCTCTAGGCTGAAGAGAGATTGAATCTAAACTCCAGCTGAGGTTGAGAAAGATAGCAATTGAGTTCACCAGACTTGGTAATTCTAGTTTAATAGAACTCCAACCTTGTTGATGTTGGCCAAAAAATGGAGTAGCACCCAAATTGAGGCCGGATAGGTCACCTTGGCCTACACAGATTGACTGAGTTTGGCAGGTTTAGTTAGGTATGAGAACATCATAAGCACATCCCACAACCTCCATGAAACAAGGTTCCTACACTTTAACTTTGGGGTTATTTTAATTAGAAGGCACAAACAAAAACCACAAAAGAAAACAAACCAATGAGTCAAACAATTTTTTTTTCTTTTTATATTTTTACTTTTCTATTCTAAGTATTTTTTCATTCTTAAAAGCTTTTATTCCTATAGGTTTTTTATGTTCCATTCTTTTTAATATTTTCATACTTTCTTTAAATCTTTTCTTCAATTTTGGATTTTAGAATTTAAATATGTTTCCCTTTTCTTTTTATGAATCTCATCCTTTCCTTTTCATCTCTTTTACAAATTCCTTTTCATTTTTTTTTCCAATTTTTTTAACTCTTTTTTTCTTCGTTTTATCTTCTTAGCTAATCAGACAGTCCATTTGAAAAAAATTCAAGCTCATAACCCACTAACATGCAACTCAATAGACCTGGACGCCCTAAGTAATCACAACCCATGTCATTTAAAATGATCAATGAAGGGGAACTAAATTTCATTTCTCTCCTCAGCTTTAATCTTCAAATTTTCTCCCTTTAAGTTATTTTCTGAATTTTTATAACTTTAAACGCTTAAATGCAACTTCTACCAATAACACTTAATTCAAAGTTCCAAGACTTAAACCTCTAAACTTATTGACCATCAACTCTAACAATTTTCTTAGCTCAACTCTTTACATCCCCGGAAACAAATTTAACACCTCAAAGCATCAGCACAGCTAGCAAACCAATTTATCAATTGGAAATTCACAGATTTTTACATTTCCAGTACCAACTCGAACTTCACAGTCATTATAGAAACAAAAAAAAAAAAAAAATCAATAGCGTATACCTGTCCCGTCGATGTTGACGCCTCTGCTGCTCTTAGTTCCTTCCCTCAGGAATCCCCCGAACCGGAAATCACCAGGTCGCCTGTCTCCCAGTTCTCAAGTACCTCACAACCTAGCTCCCTCCTCGATTTTCTCCGTTTTCTCTCCAAATCGTGTT